GTTAGGGGTCAAATCTCAACTTTCTTCCATTTAATTGTATCATTCTCTGACCATTACTCATTGCCAAAACATCTGTCTAATTTTAATTTTCCTCCTCTTCTTGCCCCTCTTTGACCTCTTCTTGGGAATTCTCAGGAGAGACTCTGAGGCGACAAAAATTTCTCGAATTCCCTCCTAATGAATGATGTGGTCGTTTGCGAGACGACAGACCGTTTTTGGGCAGGAGTCGTCGCTTCAGTTTCGAACGAAAATCAGCAGCGATGATCAGAAATCATCCACACCTTTATTCGGAGAAAACCTTTTGTTTTTTTTCGAAAAATAATGATGGGTTGATTCGAATCAGACCTAGATTAAAGTTCTTGGTGACACGAATTAAAGATGTTTTTAGTTTCTTCGCTAACTTTTGGGCATCAGAGCTTGAGTGGACCATTGAAGGGCAAATTTCTGCTTCTGAATTTGTAATGTTTTGAGTTTCTGAACTCTTTGAAATTCCTAGAAGCTTCAGAACTTCCGATTTTTTCTTTATCCGGAGTTTTCAAAATTTCGATTTTCTGAAATTTTCGATTTATTACTATTATTTTTATGGATTTTTCGAATTTCTGATTTTTCTGAAATTTTCGAATTTTTGAATTTTTGAGTTTCTAACCTCGTGGTATTACTAGAATCTTGTGAACAATCGAGTTCTTTATTTTTCTGATGTTTTCGAATTTTTGAATTTTCAGAAACGGCTAAATTTTCGATTTTTATTTTCTAATTTTTGGAAATTTCTAAATTTCTGAATTTCCAAAATATCTTTTTTTTATCAAAGAAACTTGAGATGTCGAAATCAATTCTTTATTTTGGAATTTTAGGTTTCGTTGGAAATCTACTTCAAAATTGTCTTTATCTCTAACCGGTCAAAAAATATACAATTTATGTCTATAATTTCTTGAAATACATTGACCAAACTAAAGTTTATCCTTGAGTTCTGATCGTTCAAAACTGACCTCTTTTCCTCATTTCTGGAAATTAAATTCCAAACGTTTCTTGCAAAACGGTACTCAAGAAAAAAGAGTGGAGAACATACAAATAATAATGTGACCTTCTCTTGTAGTTGCTTTTTTTTCGAGGAAGTAGTACCGTACCAGTTTTCTTACCTTTTTCGTCATACTGTTATTCTCCTATTTTGACCATTAATTCGATTTAATCCTTCGAACCAATTTGCTTTACCAGCACTTTTTCAAACTCATACAAATCTGCAAGCGAGCAACAAACAGCCGGTGTCTGTTTGACCCAAAGTTTTTGTCAGCCTCCTCTTTTTTCTTTTCGCTACTTCCCCTCAAATAAATAAGTTCACAGAAATTCGTAAGCGCAAAGATTATGGGTCACCTACACACCTCCTACGCTGGCAAACTTGGGAAAAATTCTGGAGATGTTTTTGGGGATATTTCTAGTTTCGGGAGAAGGATCAGATAACTGTGTAGTCTCTCAACTTCTGTGTTTGTTTACCGTTCTTGACGGTATTAACAGCCACCAATTGATAGCTGACGTCTTCAAAATGTCTTCTGATAAAATGACACCCTTGTCGATGCTGTTGTCTTCTCTTTCGACGATTCCTTACTTCCTTTTTCATCGTTCCCTCCATCGAGAAATCGGAGGGTTTCTTCTATATCGAAACCGTCGAATTCCGTTGACGTTTTTCCGACCTTGACTTGATCTAGCAATCTGAATCGTCGGTTGGCGAAGAGCGACGACGTCGGCTGACCGATCGACAGCGATAAGAATCGAGGAATGAGCTAGAAATTTTCGAAATCACATTCCATTTTTTCGTTTCTCTCGATATGTTTTGTCATGTGTATGAGACGTTTTTTAGACGAGGTGGAACCGTTAGATACTTCCTGATTCAATTTTCAGATAAAACCGGAGAGGAAAAAGGAAGAAGAGGGGGGAAGTTGAGGTATAAAAGTACAAAGAGCGATAAGTTTTGTTTTTTGGGGGCAGCTGATTTGAGGGAAAGATAGGCGATGGATGTTTTTGTCCTTTCTAACTGAAAGTTACTGTAGTTTTGTGAAAGTTGGAGGACGTAATTTTGTTGTTTTTGGCATTCCTACCGCGAAAAGAAGTGCTTGCGAAGTTCAGACACAGTGTTGTTGCCTGAAATATTTCTATTAGAATGTTGATTCCATTCATCCAGTGATCCTAAAATTAAAGATACCGTATTCCCTCTAATAGAAGCCCACCTGCTCCGTCAACTTTGAGCTCAATTAGCTCGATTCTTGTAAAAGATATGAAAATTTTGTCAATTAAAAACTTATTTATCATATTGTTACCAATGTTTTCTTATTATTATCTCAAGGTTTATCTCAATGTTAACTCATTTTTAATATCTTCTACAGGAAATGAGATAAATTAGCTCAAAGGCCCTTCTATTACAGGTTTTAAGATATACTGAAAGTGAGGAGGAAAGCGGAAAGCTTTAGAGAATGCTTCTGATAAAGTCTGGAATAAATTGAATATTTATTCAGAGCTATATTTAGAGCATTTTCCAGAAGCCCCGTTTTCTTTGTGTTCTCTCAAAAAAATTCGAGTCCTGCACCACTTTTATAGCTTTTTGAATGGGTTCAGGAAATTCAATCCAATTTATCTTATTTCCTGTAAAAGATACCAAAAAGTTCGTAACGCCACATTTGGTTAGTTGACTACTTTTTGATATCTTTTACATAAACTGAGATAAATTGGCTCCAAGTTGGAAATTATGGAGTCATTCTATTAGAGTGTTTACGGTATTTCGAGAGCTAACTTTTTTCCCTCATTGACATCTGGGTGGTATTGGTGTTTAGATCTGAAAAGAAGAAGAAGAGGTGGAACCGAATTTTGACAGAGAAGATAAGTACAACCAACTAGATTTGTCAACCAGATAGAAACAGTTCGTCCCCTCCCGTTAAGACAAGTCCTCTGCTTCCTTTTCATCTGCCTATCTCGCCCCCTCAAAAACTGTTTCTTTTTATCTCACATATTCAGCTAACAAAGGTAAAAATGTACTCGTACCTTTTTAAATTTTGTATCATTTTGTTCTTGATCTCTCCATTCCCCAATGTTTATTCCTTGCTCTCTTGTTTACCTATCCCCAATTTTTTAGGTAGGAGTCAGGGAACGATCGAAATGTAGTGTGATTTCCAGCCCGTTGCTACCAATTCCCACGTATTCAGATTGATTGAAGTGCCTAGTTCCCCTTTTCAATTATGCTTGTATTGCATTTACAAGTTTTCGTCTCTTGTATGAAATATCAAAACAAAAGATAGATACTTCAAGAAGTCTTCTTCTTCTATTTTTCCTTCTTTTTCTTTTTTCTTGACAACCATCACCACCACTATCGTCACTGATATAGTAGTATTAGCTTGACCTTTTTCTATTACAGCATCATCTCTTTTTTTTCGATTTTCTCCTCCCTTCGTCTCTCGCCTTTTCTCAATTCTCTTTTGAACTTTCCCTTTTCGATGGGCCCCCATTTCTCGCCCGTTTTGGTTTCGGTTTCCTTCTTCTCTGTTTGTTTCTCGGTGTCCTTTTCTCTCTAATCAGTAATTTGGGAAACCAATTAATTGCCAATGTAAACATGTGTTTAATCGTCTTTTGGATGAGAAATCGAGAGAAGTAAGAGGAGTACAAAAATATGGAAAGAGGTTAATTGAGGGCGGTTGTACTAAACAATTTAGCATTTTTTTTGGGAAAAAAATTTTTTTGGGAAATATAGGGTAACTGTAGAACTTCTTAGCTTATAGCTTATTGAAAAAAAACTGAAGCTTTCGGAGAACGCATTTGAGGCTAAGAGTTCCTAAAAGAGCCTTAAAGGGGGGCTGCGTTGTCGGACTAGGTTTCTACCAGGAACTGAAACTCTCGTTCCTCTTCCAACGAGTTAAATTTAAGCAAATTTTTTGCTTTCAAAGCCTCTTTTCGATTTTTTTTCGCAATAGAATTTCATAACTTTAGGAACATGTTAATGCAAAAATATTGCAGTAACTTTTTGGCTGTAGTGCCTCTTTGAAATGTCAAATTCAGTCATTTTTCATTACTCAAGGAAAGTGAATCTGGAAATTTCTATATTTCTAAACATGACCGATAACTCATAAAATATCAGAAGTTCTCAAAAAAACCTTGGCTCTTTTTTCTAATCTTTCCTTCGACTATTAACAGATCAGATATAGCTCCTTCCAATCAAACTTTTTCACATCCTATATTTCAAAAACTTGTCACTTTTTGTAGTGCCTCTTCTCCACTCTCCAATTTTTCACCCCATCAATCTAAATATTTGCAAATTATATCTCGCTTTCGAAAGTTTGTTACTTGCAAACTACTTCCCTCCTCCCTACCTAAATTTCTACAAATATAACTGAACTTTTCCGGTTTTTTGCCCGCCTGCCAACCTATTTTCATCACCCCCTCTTTCTGATCAATATTTGCTCAATAACTTTCTTTATTTCCAGTCTTTTTTATTCGTATTCTTCTTCTATTTCTATTCAATTCTCATTTGATTCAGAATTCTGAAAATGTACCTAACCCCTATATTTTGCAATAGTATGTTTACTCATTCGAAACTGTTTTTGTTGACTTTTGTCACCTATTTTCTTTTTCCGCTTTTCCTTTTGTGATAACAAAGAAAAACATCATCATCCCCTCCGAAGAAAAATAGACAAAAACTACCTTGAAAATAAGCATAGTACTGAAAAAAAAGAAAAACAAGTAAATAAATAAACTTCTCAATATATTTCAAAACGACACGGAGCCACCACCACCATCACTCTAGGCTCCGCCCCCATTTATTTACTCTGACCACCACCCGCCTCTCGATTGATCCCCCAACCCACGGTTTTATTATATAAATTGCTCGAATTCTTGACTTCAATAAGACTCTATCTGTCTCCTCAATTTGTCTTTGATCTATATTCGCTAACTAAGCTGCTCTGATATTTCAGACGAACCAATAATCGAAACGAACCGAACCCGAAAATCAGAAGAATCAGAAGATGTTGTGGTTCGGTGGAAATCCGAGTCCGTCTGACTATCCAAATGCAGCTATTCCTAATTTTAATATGCACGCATTTGTGGTAAGATTTTTTATAAAATGGTTTCAATGTTTTTGGGTTTATTTTCTTTGTCTCATTTCGAGCCAATTTGCATAGGAGCCAAGATCAATGAGCTCGTCTTGACTATGTGGGGGCCATCCCATTAAGGTAATGACCAAAAATATCCAGAAGAGTCTCTCTACCTCAAATATATTTTTTAATACTTTCAATATTCTATAAATATTTTCCAGATATTCTCGGTATTTCTAATCCCGTTCATCGCTTATCTCCTAATCCTACCCGGAGTACGACGGAAGCGAGTCATCACAACAGTCACTTATGTGCTTATGCTAGTTGTAGGTGCCTCTTTAATAGGTAAATCATCTCCCAATTTTCAGTCTGACCCAATTTTTTTTTCAGCATCTCTGATTCTTCCATGTTGGGCGTCGGGTAATCAAATGATCTACACCCAGTTTCGCGGTCACTCAAACGAGCGGATATTGGCCAAAATTGGGGTGGAAATCGGGTTGCAGAAAGTGAATGTCACACTTAAATGTGAGTTTTAAAAACTAAAATTTTTAAACGTATTCTCGAGGTTTCAGTCGAGAGGTTACTCTCTTCAAGTGATGTTCTTCCTGGAAGCGACATGACAGAATTGTACTACAACGAGGGATTTGATATTTCTGGAATCTCCTCAATGGCGGAAGCACTTCATCATGGGCTGGAAAATGGTTTACCGTATCCAATGCTCAGTGTTCTTGAATATTTCTCATTGAATCAAGATGCTTTTGATTGGGGGAGACATTACCGAGTAGCTGGACACTACACGAATGCAGCTGTTTGGTTTGCATTTGCTTGTTGGTGTCTTTCTGTGGTGCTTCTTTTCTTGTTGCCACATAATGCTTATAAGGTAAGACTTCATTCACAAAACTGACTTTTCTAACTCCAATTTCAGTCGATTCTTGCCACCGGAATCTCTTGTCTTATTGCTTGTCTTGTCTACTTGCTTTTATCTCCATGCGAACTTCGGATAGCATTCACAGGAGAGAACTTTGAGAGAGTCGACCTGACAGCGACGTTCTCATTCTGTTTCTATCTTATCTTTGCCATGGGTATTTTGTGTGTTCTCTGCGGTCTCGGGCTCGGTGTTTGTGAGCATTGGCGCATCTACACATTGTCCACTTTCCTCGATGCCAGTCTAGACGAGCATGTTGGTCCTAAATGGAAAAAGCTGCCGACTGGAGGACCAAGTTTGCAGGGAGTTCAGATTGGAACATACAGAACTAATGTGAGTTTTGAGTTTTCTATTGGAAAAGAAAATTATCATTAATTTATTTGGTTCCGAAATTCCGAAATTTGCAAGGAGTGCCAGTTTACAAGGTGGCGCACAATTACCCGGACTGATAAAAACGGTTATAACTTTAGAAACAAGTATCTTGGAAGCACAAAAGCAGGTTGAAATAAAATTTTACGTTGAATTCAAAGCTATTGAAATTTTCAAAGCGATTCCTCGACTAGGTTTTGTTAAGATCATGACTCCAAGTTGATCAAATAATTGGAAATTCGGCCAGTTTACTGATGAATTATTTGAATTTTCGCATTCGAAATTTAAGCCCAGTACAACGCTTCACTCAAACGTTATGGTAGTATAACCTTTAGTACATGTAATTTCTGTATTTTTTTCATAATTCCTTTTTCAGACAACCAATAGCAGTCGCGACAAAAGCAGTTTGACAAGTGACAAAACAGCTGGATCCAGCGGTTTTCAGTCAAGAACGAGTACATGTCAATCGAGTGCGAGCTCCGCATCATTAAGGTAAGACTTTCTTTTTTTAAGCAAAAATATTAAAAAGCGAATTATGAAGATGGCCTGAATCTCGTTCAACCACGCCTGGTTTCTCATCAGTCTGTCTGGATACCGATGTTTTGACGTAATTAACTTCATAAATTGGGTATTCCTTGGTATAGGTCCTGGAAAAAGGTCTAAAACTCTCCCATTCTAAAAATAACCATTTTTAAGCTCCAACCCATCCTAATTATGACTGTTTCAGGAGTCAAACATCGATCGAAACGGTTCATGATGAAGCAGAACTAGATAAGGCACATGTCCACTTTTTACAAGATCCATGCTCTTCATCATCATTATAATCCCCTCTCGAATTTAGTTTTTTTTTTTCAGAACCCTCTTTTTTATCTTTTTTCTAGGTGTAATATTTTCTCTTCTCTTCCTCTTTTGCTCTCTATTCATCCATCCGTGACATTCAAAACTTCAACTCATCGATATCGATTTTCCCCTGATCCATACGGGGATAGATTCAGATTAAATTTGTGTGTATATCTACGTGTATACATACACCCTTCTTCTCTCTTGTTCCTCTTATCCCGGTGACCTAAATTTTCAGCTTTTCCCACTTTTCCTGTCTGCTCCTCATAACATTTTGTGTGTATGTAAATTTTCACTCTTTCCTGCCCCCATTTCAATTTTCAGAGTTTTACTATCTTCTACTGGTAACCGCATTTTTCCTCTCTCTCTCTCTCTTCAATCATTTTTCTTTTGCTTTTTCTTCCCAAAATGTTTTTCCTGTGTTTTCCCTTGTGAGTCACTTTTAAAACGGGTCATTTCAGGAATTCGTTTCCTTTTTTCTCTCTTGGATTCCCCAAAAAATCGCCATGCCCAGAAGACTTTTTCATTTCATCTTTTTTGTCTGTCTCCGAGCTGTATTATGATTGATGCATTTGGGTTTTCTTGCTACGGGTTACCCAACTCTCTGACCTAGTTTTGTCTCTGTCTTTTTGTGATTCTTCTTTCCTTGTTTTTCAATAAACTGGAATTCTTAAAGAATTTTTGAAAAATAGCACGTTTCATAACCAAAACCATGGTTGATGAGTAAACCTCGTTATCAGTAGAAGTACTTTATTTTAAGGCAAAGAAAGAAAAACAGAAAACAGGAAGTAGAGAAATTCCATTAAATTGCACGATTTCTCTGAGAATCACAATTGGGTCAAACTGCTGTATTGTATAGTGTACTGGCAGGACGATCCACATTATTGAAGGCCTCTTTTTCATTAGCTGGAAGAAATGCGGCTACCTGGAAAATTTGAGAAAATTATAATGGGGAGAAAATCCAAACCTTTGTTTCATTTTGTATCAGAGGGGCTCATCTAATTGAAGAGCCCCTCGGCTATCATAGAACCTGTTTTAGAAGAGCCCCAACACTTTCAGGTTTGAGCTCATTTTTCTTGGTTCCTATACAAGATATCAAAAATGTGATAAAATGTATTTAATATTACGATAAAAAATTTATCTGTGGACAACTTTTTGATATATCTGACAGAAACCGGGATGAATTGGCTCAAAGTTAAACGTTAGAGAGCCCTTCTATTACAGGTTTTACGGTGAATTACTGATAGATCGATTTATGCTAGAAAAAACAAAAATTCACCGAAAAACAAAAATTCACCGAAAAACAATGTCCCTTTAATAGAAGCTCCCTCCTCAGCGACCTTGTGAAAAATACAAGTACACCCTCTAATTGAAGTGCCCCTCTGATTAAAGCGCCCGCCTAGAGAACTCCACGAAATCAAATGGCCGGTACTACAGGTTTTACGGATTTAAAAAACTAAGAGAATTCGGAACTTAACGTTACCTGTTGCCTTCTGATGGCATTATGAGATTGAGATCCAGGTTGTGCCACTGCTCCTCCTTCTATCGACAACCTTAGTTGAGATGACAACGCACTTTTCAGATTTTTCTGAAATCATTCAAACCTCATTTCTCCGATTTTCCAAAAACCCACCGCGAAATTCGCAACCATTGAATTCGAGTTTGATTTTCTTGCTTCTATTCTACTCCTATAGAGAAACTCTCCAAGTGCAGCCAACATTGAAATAACCATTCCTCCCATCAGAATATAAAATATACCAGCCACTTTCGAAAGATTCAAACTGGCTGATGACCCGTCTACAGTCAGTGCCGCATCACATTGACCTCTATCGTACCACCATTTGTTCTCCAGTTTTTTGAGTTCTCCTCTTTCTTGAAGAGCCAAAATTGCTAGATTAATGTGATCCTTCCAATCGGAACCAAACGGAGTAGCGATTCCATATCCAATACTATTCAGGTTTGCTCCTAGAAACATATTGTATTTTATTTACTTCGAACTGTAGGTTTTACATACCAACTTTCATAGTATCACACGGCTTCCTCGTGTTCTCATATTCATTTGCAGTTGCTTCTAGGAGGAATGCGTACCTTCCTTTATGACTTCTAACTCTCTCAATTCCTTCTGCATAACTTGCAACAAAAACTGGAGGAACTTGAGACTCCATATATCTCCACATCCTTTGATAAATTTGAACAGAAGAGTACTGAAAAGGGGGATGATGTCATTTTATAGATCATTTAAAAACCTTGAAGAATGAAGCAGTGGATCCACCTCCTTGAATTCCGTATTTTATTTTTGTCTGTTTTGCAAGATCCTCTACACTTTCAATAGGAGCTTGCATTTTTTCAAGAGTTAGAAAAGCGGCAAGATTGGCAGTATAGGAAGATACAATAATCATAGTGAAGAACCACCAGGCCGAAGAAGCGATTCGTCCAGAAATGGACCTGGAAATTTTGAATTATTATCAGATGTTAAGACACATTCTCTGACAGAACCGAAAATAGTGCTGTAGAGAAAAATTCAAACTTGTTTTTTCTAGTTGATTTTTCACATATTGCATGTTTATAGATTTCTAAGGTAAATGAAATATAGTTTGTCCCGACTTGCCCCACCCCTGCAAAAATATGGTCGTGGGGTGTCTAAAAAAAATTTTTTTCGAAAGTGAAATAATGATTAGATCTTAACGTAAAACGTTTTTGGGCACTATTTTGAACATTTTTTGTGTTGGCACTATACTAATATTCTTCAGTCTTCCTGGGAAAAATTCAGTGTTTTGCAAAAAAGCTATTTTTTGTACCAAAAATGCCCGTCCTGAAAAAATTCCATTATTTTATGAAATTAAACATCAAATTTAAATTTTACGTCAAAAAATAAATTAAAAAATGTTTGTTTTTGTTCAAAGCAATTTTTGCCGTTTTTATGGTGCTCCAGAAAAGCATTAAGGCGATGAGATCGTATTCTGAAACTTTGCCAGAATACTACCCATCAAAAATAGTGTATCTAGAATAAATTTGAGCAAAATTGGAGAGGGTCGATTTTGGGCGAAATTTAGTTGCCATGTACTCCCCCACATAGTGAAACCTCATTTTTTGGCACATTTTGGCCGAAAACTTGCAGTTTACCCAGGATATTTAAACAAAAGCAAATATTTTCTAATGTATTTTTCTGACGTAAAATCTGAATTTGATGTTTATTATGTTAATTTGTTAATTTGTGTTTAATTGATGTTAATTTGTTGTTTATAAAATAATGGACATTTTTTCCAGGGTGGTCATTTTTTGGTCCAAAAAATAGCTTTTTTGCAAAAAACTGAATTTTTTCCCAGGAAGACGGAAGAATATTAGTATAGTGTCTAATACAAAAAATGTTCAAAATAGCAAGTCGGGACAAACTATATCTCATATACCTTAAAAGTCCATAAACATGCAATATGTGAAAAATCAACTAGAAAAAACAAGTTTGAATTTTTCTGTACAGTGGATAATAGGCCTGAAGTTGAGTTCTACAGAGAACGCGTCTTAAACATTTGAAGAATACTGTAAAACCTCTATTAGAAGTTTCCGTTTCATTAAAGGGCCCCATTAAAATGATATTTTCAAATTAAAAATTTCCATATGTTTTCAGTGAAAAAGATTCTGGAAATTCCACAATTCATAAAAATTTGTTGAAACACTTTTTTGCTCGTAAAACTTGCTCAATTCAGTTGAAATTGTAATATTTTCATGTGTTTTGAACAATAGTTCACCAAAAATTTCTGTTGAAAAACTCGAAAAAATGGTTGGAAATATAGCAGAGCCCCTGTAATTGAAGGGCCTTTCAGAAGTTTTTGGAATAATAGAATGACCGGCTCTTCTAATATAGGTTTTACGGTAATCATTTGTACCTGGGTAAGATATCAGTTCCTTGCTGCATGAATGCTGCTAATGTGAACCAAAGACAATTGTAGACTGAGAAATCATTGGAAATCGTAAATCCTCCTCTAGAAGTTTCTTCAACTCTCCATTCATACGGGGAAAAGCGAGATACCAAGAAGATCACAACGGATACCTGCAACAATTCAGAATTTGATTTCCTCTAAATTCTAGGAGCCTAACCCCAATGTAAGCAAATATGATGTACATCCAAATCTCAGTACTAAGCGGTTGCATGAATGAGAAAACAGAAAACTCTTGCTTGTCGGGTTTCTTAATCATAATCGAGATTCCAGTTGTCATGAATGGTTTAGAAAAATCAACGACTCGTTCTCTCTCCTGATTGATTGTCAATGAAGCAACGACAGCATGAGCATTTCCATTCAAAAGTTCGCCAATCATTCCGTCCCAACTTCCATCTGGTTGTTTGGAACCCGCCTGAAAACTCAAAAACATTTTAAATAGATTCCCACAATAGCCAACCTTGGTCCCTAATTTAATAACATAATTGAACCCTTCAATTTTGTCAGCCAACAGTTTCAACAAATCGATACAAAATCCTTCGAACTTGTTATTTCCCTGGCATTCGGTTAGATTTCCCATCTCTACGCATTCTCTTTTTATCATTACGAACGGAGCAACTAAATTTGTGAGTACAATCACTTGATTATCTTTATGATCACTTTGACTTTTTCGAGAATGTTGGGCAACGGTTCGATTCGAGAAAAATCCGACACCTTGGCGCCATGCTAACACTTCTTTTGAGTTGAATGTTGCCTTGGTGTTTGATACCAAATCCACAATAGAGACATCGAAATTCTTCCGGTTTCCAAATCGATCAAATTCGATATTTCCAGTTAGAGTTCCCTCTTTGGCACCTATTTTCATCTGAAAAACAGATCGTCTAAAACTAAATCAATTAAAAAACTACATTTCGAAATGCCACTCCGATTGTTTTTCCATGCTCGAATGATGAAAACGGGCGGTTCGGATGAGAACGATCAGATAGAGGATCACAGTAGATACCTGAATTGATTGTTTTATAATTTCAAACTCATATTTTCCAATCACCTGGAAATCCTCTATTGAAAAATCTCCGATGCCTAAATGTGCCATGGAACAAGGAGTCGTTGGCTTGCAAGCATTTCGCAAACCCATGCCACGTCACCAACATGGAGTCGTGTCCAACTGCAGCTTCAACACTAACATCATCTCCTCCACCCAAAGATGATGACGTCTTCAGATGTTTTTTCAGTGACCAATACTCTCTGCCATCTTTGTTTATTATATTGAATCCTGATATGTTGATGTTTCCGTTTTGGAACATTTCTTGATCGTATGGTAGGAAATCCTAAAATTATAATTTTATGAAAAATCAGTTTAATACTAAAATCTTACATAGTTGGCTAGCACATAATGATAGTTGGCCTGGTTAAATTGTGCTGATCTGATATTGATTAGAAGTTTTTTCAGTCGTTTCGGGGAAGCACAATCAATCAAAATACGATTCGTCTCGTTGTTTCTCATCATATTGAACTGCATTAGATAGGATTCAAATTGAGCTTCATCTGACGGAAGATCAAACATCGACGCCTTCACTGAAGTATTGGTCCGAGTTCTCAGATGACGCCAGAGGGATGGAAGATGGAGACTTGCTGGAAATAACAGAAAAGATCTCAGGTATTCTGAATTTCCAGAAATTCTGAATTTTAAGAAGACTAAATTTTTGATATCCTGAATTCCGGTAGTATTCTAACATCTCGAATTTTGTGGATTTTTTGATATCCGAAACTTTTGAGTTACTGGGTTTCTTAATTTTCTAATTTCTAATTTTCAAACTTTTGAATTTCAGGGTTTCTTAATTTTTAATTGTGATTTACCATGAAGTGGATCAATCATCACAAGAACCTCACTCCATCCTTTATGAACAATGAAATCTGCCAAAAGTTCACTGATCGGAGGACGGACAGAAACTTCAAATAGATTTCCAAATTGTTGTTGTTCGTCATTATTTGGAGCAGTCAATGAGATTAATGGCATTTCAAGAGCATCAGAAACTCCACGAATTCCCTCGATTCCTTTTCCGTCGACACTTGAGAGTAATGCCATTGCACCTTCTTTCAATTCATCACAAACGGCGTTCACCATATTCCAAGAGACGGCTGCTCCTTCTTCGACTACTCGGTGGTCAAATGCGAGTCTGGAATTTTTTAAATTATCTACTGACACCAGAAAGAATTTGGATTCTGAAGTTCACATAATTCTAACTGGCCGGGTTGGGCTTTTTTCCGATTTTCGTAATCCCAGATCTTTTAAAGCAAGTCAAATCCCTTTTTTCGGTTTTGATCGAATTTTTTGAAAGAATAGAAAAATTATAGCTGACAAACCAACGAACAAAAATTGGAGAAATGAAAATTGGAAAAAGAGTGATGGCTTAGAAGTTTGCTTGAAATTATAGGATTTCTTAAAACCGGGTCTACCGGCTTTAATGCAAGCCTTGAAAATCTATTCCTTTATTTTATGGAAATTCAAGTATGGAGGTTCACAGTTTTCTATTTTTACTCACTTGAATGGTACATCATCTCTGGAATTAATATGATCTGATGTGTATTCCATTGCTTTTAGTGCTACTCTCGAAACCTCCTCATTGTTTCCAAATGACTCTGAAACTTTCTCCATTGTAAAATTCTGAATTTGAAAACCCACTTACTTATTATAATATGACTTGGATAAGGATCAACTATAGTGAAATTGAGAACTGTGAGCAGAACAGTTGCCAGCATGCTCCACGAGCTTCTTCTGTCCGATGGAACCATTCTGAATGAATCAGAGGAACGACGTCTCCTTCTTTGCCGTCTTTTTCTTCCTTTTCTTTGAGCCAGAAATTTGATCCTCCTTCACTTCATTGTGTCAGTAAATTGGATGTGAAAATGTGTTTTTCGGATTAACACATGTCGGATAAAATGGAAAAGAAAATGTAGATAATGTAGAAGAAGGTCAAAAGAAAAAAGAAAAAGATGAAGACTTTTTCGGAAAAGTACGAAGTGACCGAAACGAAGAAAAATTGGACAAGGACCCCGTCCTGCTCTTCCGCAGCCAAGTGTGTAAAGAGAAGGATGGGAGAAAGGGAGCGGAGCACTCGCAAACCCCCCACTAAATTGCATTTCAGACTCACCTCCGACTATTGAAAGTGTGGAAGAAGAAGAGAAGCAGAGAAGAGATGGCCAATCAACGTCCTCCTCCAAAAAAGAAGAAGAGACTCTTCGACGGGGGAGGGCACATCTCCATTTTCTGGGACACGAAGGAACCTCTTTATGAAATAAAATGGAGTTTTCGAAAAATGGGTTATCGAAATTTACATTTCTTCGCCGACTCCGACTTTAATTTTTTTTTCGCGATAGGGAGATTCTGAATTCAAGTGGTCAACGTTTCGGTTTTTCGTGTTTTAGTCGTTATACCGAAGTCAGTATTCGGACATGAAAAAGATAAATTTCTCGAAATTCCGTTCACATAAGCCCCTCAAGGAGTTGAACTTGTGGACCCCACGATAGAGTTACTGCACCGCTACCGGCTGAGCTAAGATGGCGAAAGCTAACCATGAGATGGCCGAACGATGGGGTATATGAATGCGGCACGGCGAATAATATTGGAAATCGAGTTTTTCTGATTTATTGGTGCTTTTCTCGATACAGTGGAAAATCATCTTTTTTGGCAATAAAATATTCTGGATCAACAAATTTTCTTCCAAAATAAGTAGAGATTGTAGAGAATTTGAAAACGAATAGAATGAATGACCTGAAAAACTTCAAACTTGAACCAAAAATAAAGGCCCTGATAGATTTTCCAGAAAATCAACAGAATTTTACGACAAATTTTTTGATACTAAACGACGGATTACTGTAGATTTGTGGGAAAATTATTATTTTTAATTCAAAATTTTTGGAATTTTTATTTGGCGTGTTATTTTTGGCGTGTAATTTTTGGCTTGGATTGACGCTGAATGACCTAGAAGGGGGAAAATTGATGGAAAAAGTGATGCCTAGAGTCTCAAATCCATCACTATGCCGGTTCACGAACAAATTAATTTCTTTTAAACTTTTTGAATTTTGCTTTTTTTATCGATGCACGAGAAAAGCGATTAAAGATTTTCTTCATCTCCTGACCCAATGTGGAGGCTATTCTTGAGCCTATCAACGACTTCGTTCTTCTTTTGCTCCGCAGATTTTCTTGGCCGCTTCTTGATCTTTGCAGTATCGATACAAAGTTTACCAAAGAAATTGCAGAGCACATCAACACTCTGGGACTTTCTCCGTGGCGCTCTTGGCTTCCGAGGTACCTTTGTTTTCGCTGGAACAACTATCTTCGGTTTTCTGCCTCTTCTCGCTGGTGCAATTCGCAGTTTCGAGAACTTCTTCATCAATTGGTCAAAATTTGTGTTGACTGGTCTCTTACGAGCTTTTCGAATTTTCGTAGCTATCCCTGATCCAGTTTTCTTAGCCACTTCATAGCATCTTTTACGAGTTCTTCGAGGTTTTGTATCTGTCTGTGGTTCAGTTGAAGCAGTTTCCTTCTCCTTCTTTGGCTTCCTTGCACGGGATTTCTTTGTTTTCGAAAGGGACAGTTCAGAGAATTCAGCAATAAGCATTTCTACTTTAGTTCTTCTTTTCCGAGCTTTTTTAACTTTTTCACCATTGGTTGCAGGTCCCTCAGTGGCCGATTCTCCTGAAAATTGACAACTAGTCCTCCAATTTTTTCTTTGTCAAGAGCGGTGATCTTCTTTGGATTTCCATTCTCCGGGGCAAGATGCTCATGGATTCCATTGGATGCTTCAGTGGGGACTTCGAAGGCATCCTCTTTAACAGCAAAATGTCCCACATCCGGGGTTTCTTGACAGTTCGACATGTTGGTTTTCAAAGAATCTGAATAAAATTTTGAGAAGTAAAGATTAATATGCCGTAAAACCTGTATCAGAAGGGCGCCTAATTGAAATAGGCCCCTTGGAGATCCCACGAAAAATAGAAGGTCCGGCCTTTCTGATACAGGTTTTATGGTAATCAGTGAATTGCTATGAACCAAACTTGTTTACCTATTCTTGATCGACTGCTGGCGATTGATTTTTAGAAGGTTTGTTTTTTGAAATCTAAAAGCAGGGATTGATTGAACTAGAGAAAGAAAAACAAAGAGAAGATAATTGAATGTATATAAGGGAGATTAACTCTGAATTTCATCAAATCAACATCGAATCCACAATATTTTATTAAAGGGGGACTCCGACCAAAAATTTTTATTGCCTTAAAATGTTTCAAAAATATGTATTTTTTAATATTATTGCGAAAAATTTCAAAAAAAAACATCCTAAATCCCCGAAAAACGGCGTTGAAAAAATATAGGATTTG